ATTTATCATAGTTTCACAAAATTGTAGTCTACGGTCCGGATCATCTTCGTTAAGTTCCTGCACTAGTCTAATTTTGTATGGATGGTACTTTTCTTTCTTCATAAGACGTAATACTGAGCGTTGGCTGACTTGACTTTTTGCTGCGACTAGGCTAGAAGCACTGTAAAGATCTTCTTCCACACTTAACAAAATGTGAAAATCTAAAATTTCGTTCAATTTTGCTAACCTTAGCACGAGTAATAGGTCGAGCAGAATACTTTGCAAACTTCTTGTTGTTTTCTAGTTTTATTGCCAAATCCTATGAGAATTAAAAGTTCAATTCTCTGTGTTTCCGTTAAATGGCCCATATTTAAATACTTCGAAATATTTGGAGAACGCTTAAGAGACAGATCTGGGCTCTCCACTCGGAAAAGGTCAACTCGAGACTTACACTGGACTGCATCAAAACCCTCGAACTACTCAGTGTGCTCAACAAGGTTAACCTTATCTGGGTACCGGGTCATCGAGGCATCAGAGGCAACGAGGAAGCAGACCAGCTGGCTCGTGAGGGCAGCAACACGGCCTTCACGGGGCCAGAACCTGTCATAGGGGTCGCCTCCTGTCTGGTAAAAACCAAGATCAGGAACTGGACTAACGACCAGTTCCAGAACAAATGGCGTGAACAACAAGGCCTCAGGCAGTCTAGGGTCTTTATAAAGAGTCCTACTACATGCAAAGAGGCAAAAAGATTCCTGAAACTTAACAGGAACCAGCTAAGAACCATCACAGGAGTCCTAACAGGACACTGGGTAGTCAAATATCACCTACACAAAACTGGACTCAGCAACGAGACGGACTGTAGGTACTGCAGCGAAGTAGACGAAACTACCGAGCATATAGTCTGCGAATGCGACGCTCTAGTCAATAGTAGACTAAGAGCCGATTTTTCAATCGTTGGTTAACATTATCTTACGGTTAATTTCCTTAGATACTATTGTTAACACAATAGTATCTAAGAAAGTTAACCGTAAGTTAAAATTAACCAAGGATTGAAAAACCGGCCCTAAGACACCTAGGGGACAGATACTTGGAACCAGAGGAAATAATGCATGTCCGACCAGAGCGGGTCTGCGCTTTTCTTAAAAGCTGCGGGCTCGTAAGGTAAGGCAGGGCTTCACCAAAAGGGGGTTTGCACAATGGGCCGTATGTGTGCCTAAGTGCTGCCTGCAAAGGCTCCCCTTCAAATCAATCAATCAAGAGACAGATACTTTACTGAACGCTAAACTAAAAGTTTTTACATCTAGTAGTGAAAATTTGTTTTAAATTATATGCTAACAAAGAAATAAAAGAAAGAAACATAAAAAACTTCCATATTTCGACACTTGCTATTTGTAGAATAACAAAAAACTATACGTTTTTCACTTCTAATAATTAATCTCCGAAACTATCAGCCCAAAAGTTATAAATTTGCATATTGCTGAAATCATAATTTGATAATCCATTTGAATTTCCAAAAAAAGAGGGGGTAAAATTAAAAAAAAAAATGGCCGATTACGTCAGAGATTCTAAAATGACCACTTGTTTTCTTTGGCGTGAAGTATTATCCCCTTAAGGGATGGCAACTTATTACATGACACCCTGTATTATCTATAATTTTAGATACAAGCACCAGTCCATCAGGAAAAAAATCACCTATAAAAGCAATTAAAAAACTAAACTTGCCAGAAGTTTTTTTTCAAACCTCGTCTGATATTCCAAGTATGTAATTCTGCATAATTATTTTGTTAATTTGTTAATTTTTACTATTAACATTTTAGCCAACGTGCTGTGTATTAAAAAGGAATTCGAATTAGGGAATAAACCAATAAAAAAACTGGACACAACTAACATTTTTTCAAGTATTGGTAATCAAATTGAAATTAAAGTAAATACTAAATGTAATATGACAATTTTTTATAGAAAATAATGAGACTGTCAATAAAATTGATAAAATAAAGAAAGTTAAAAAATTAAATGTGCCAGAAGTCTTTTTCCAGGCACCATCAAATAATATACAAGGTAGGTAACTGGCAGTACGAAAATAGGTCATGATAGGGCAAGTAACACCCTATATCTATCTTAAAGAGAAAGAAAAATGTTACCATATTTTATTTAACAAACTACTCTTATTTTTCGAAAGTATTGGTTATAGTCTCGGCGACGAATGTTTTCCGTTGCGTCATCAATTTTAAAAGTAAAACAGCTAATTGTAATGTCTCTGCTTGCAAGCATGGTTCATAAATTTATGACGCAACGGAAAACATATTTCGCGGCGATCATAATTTATTTACGTAAAGTATATTAATAATTTAAAATCTGACAACCCTGTGCATCAACATTGACACACATGCGTAATCTACATCTACTAATTAAAACCTGAAGGTATTGTTGTAAAGGTGCAAAAAATGCTTAGTAAACAATGTGAAGTAAATTGTGAGTAATTTAAGTAAATTTAAGAGGTTCCTCATCAAAGTCCATATATATGTTGACGAGGAAACGGATGCAAGAAAGAAAGTCATTAAAAAATTTCATGTAAAAAATATTTGTTTAAATATAAAAAAGGTATGTTTAAAATTTATGCAGGGACAACACGCAAAGAAATTTGTTGTTAAAATCAATAAAAATATATGAATCTTCTTTACAAATTTTTTGAAAATACGGATAATAACAAATTGTAATATACATACAAACAAAAATTAAAACAAATTTATGACTATAACTTACAACACCTGTAGAAGCAATAGAACAACAATTTATATTTGCTACACAATTTATATCATATATAACTTATATGTGCATTTTAGTCATGTACTTGTTGCGTTTGTCACTATAATCTGGGTCCAGAAAATGTTATAATTGTGTGTACATAAATATTATAATTTATGATACAAGATGACGAAACTTTGTAAAGTTTTTTACAACAATTACTAAAAATTGTCGTAAAATAAAAGAAGCCGTCAAAAATGACACAATATTGTAGTAATTATTCAAGCAGACCAAAATTCACTTATGCAAATTGTTGCATATTATAAACATATTTGTACATTACTTGTAAAATATTGTTGCATTTTTTAATGCAATTTGTTCATACAAATTGTAGCAGATCGTCGATCAAATCTTAAAAATAAACTTAATGCTAAAAATGCAGTATACTTCAAAATAAATACCTATTTCAGTGACGAATAAAAAAATAAATATTACACATATGGGTGTTTTGGACCGCCCTTATATTGCTCCATTCAAAAATATAAAAATTTATATATGGGGTTAAAAAGGTTAAAAATTATATAATATTTCATGAACGCGATAATCCATTGCTTTGGTTCCGACATGTTCAAATACTATCGGTTCACTTGCAGCTGCTTCGATTACCTAATAGATTAATTAATATATAATTATATAGGGTTGTCCAAAAAAACTTTTTTAATGAAGGGAATTTTTAATTTTTTTTTTCATACATTTTTTAGTGGAATAAACCCTTTTCTAGTTTTTGTTTTTATTAAAAGTAAATATTGCTAAAAATGTAGTGTTGTTTTTAGATTTTTAAAGCAAAAACGCATTTATACATTTAATTTTTAACTTTTGTTTTCGAGGACAACTAGGACTAGGAAGCTGAGAATATAAAATTAACTTACATTAAATTAAATTTTAAATTTTTCAAAACCCCATTCTTTCAATAAATCTGCTACAAACGGATCCATTGCTCTTTTCGGCAGTATGCCAAGACAAAACACACTAATAACCTTGAAGCAACCAATCAGAGAAGGTTTTTTTTACTATAAACAACCTAATTTAAAACTTGCACTTGCACACATTTTTCAAACAACTTGCGAATAAGTTTGCCACAACTACGAACCAAAAATACACAAACTTTGGTTTTATTTAGTATTACACGCGTTAGTATTGTTGCGTTCTTCATTACGTACAAAATGCATTATTGCTACAATTTGTTTATTTCTTGTTTTACACAAACAATGCAAATCTTTACAATGGGGTTAGTTGCTTGTTTTACACATTACCAGTACTTTTTGTTACATTTTGCGACAACTCTCTTACAGCAAAATTAGGTACTATATACAATTTAGACCATAGCAAGTGAAGCGATAGTGACATAAATTCTTTTCTTGTTTGGGTGCAATATTACCACAAATTTTTTATAACAATATTGTAGCATTTTCATTATTTTTAGAGATGCAACCAAAAGAAGCAAAAATACCAAAAGAAGAAGACACCATAACCAAGGAAAAAATTGAAGAGAAAAACAGGCTGTACAAAAAGTATAATTTATACAAATTTTTCGAACAGAGCACTCCAAGTAGAAATATACGAAATATGAGCCAAAAGAGTAAAAATATGACGGAATACAACGAGCAATTAATTACAATACAAATTTCCAACATGACCATTGACAATGATCCGCCATGTAATGTGGATACAAGGGATACAAACTTCGACCAATGTTTTCGGAAAAATTTTAAATCGGATCTTGATAATTTAGATGTTTTTGAGGAAATGTTTAGCAAATTGACTGCCAATATAGATGTAAACGATGAAAATATTGATAAAAGATTTAACAGAATGTTCAGAAATGTTTTAAAGTAACAATATTTTAATAAATATTGCTATAAATTATTTAGACATGTTTTAATTGTTTTATTTATTTTTGCTTTTAAATCCTGATTCACTATTATTATTATTATTATTATTATTTAAAAACATAAAAATTTAACTTAGGTATTTTTAATAAAATTAATAAAGGTGGGTAAAACAAAACTATTTAAATGGTGTAATTAGATACAAATTTAGTTTTATTAATAAAATATGAAATTTTTATTTGGTTTTGTAAATGCATGATAAAAATTAAATTTCAATGATTATCCATTTATGTTGGTTTTCCCGTTCAGTGTTTATCAAATTGATTCATAGAAGTATTCATACTTTACTTAAAATTATTTTATTACTTTAACATTTACTCGTGAAATGTCGCAGTGAATTAGTGTAGTTTATATATAATGAAAGTAAGTAATTACTTAAGTTGATTCTTATTACCAGGCCCGCATCTACAAAATTTCCAAGGGGGCAAAGGTATCAAAGTAAAATGAGAGGAAAATTTGATTTGATTTTTTTTAATTTTAAATAACCCCATGAAAAAAATCAAGTCCTTCTGTAGGACAGGGTGTCACCTAATAAATTGTCATCCTTTGGGGGATGATAGTACACGCCAAAACAAGAAAGTTTTTCCTCATTTTTGCATTAGAGCTATGTACAGGGTGTCCCAAACTCGACGCCCCAACCTTATTGTGAAAAAATGGCAACAATAACTGTTAGTTATTTCTAAATTAGAAGAGTAAATTTAGCAAAAAATGATGGCGACGCTCAGCGCCGCGACGCTGGCGAAAGTATTTTTTCCACGAATATACTTTTTTTGCCACGGTTGGGAAGATAATTGAAATCTCATAGTTTTTTATCAAAAAAAAATTTTCTATCTATTATAGTTTGGAAGTTATCACAATTTTATTTATGATTTTAATATACTCCAGTATACAAGTAGCATTATGGTGACGAAAACTGATATCACCACTTCAAATGAGTGGCAATAACGTTTAAAAAACTAAATCTACCACGATACAGTTAAAATATCTCCAAATTATATTAGCATAGTTGTTATCATGTGATTTGCACCAGCAGAATATACTTTATAGTTTTATAACTTTTTGGTGTATTAGTCTGGTATTTGAAATGTTATGACCACTTTTGACACCACCTTAAAGTTGTCTAAACTTTAGAGTGAATTATGAATAGTAACTGTAACCAAATCACATCACTTAAGTATTACTTTGAACTTCAAAGTTTAAAGTGGTAGTAGGAGTAAAGTGGGTATATCAGTTTTGGCAACGCTTTCGGAACTTTTCCCAAACCTTGAATGTGGCAAAACTTGATTATATAATTGCGGTGGTGATTGCCACGTTCTTGCTACATGCTAAGTGATTTCCACGTTTCGTATAAAATTACCACTTTAAAGTTCCCTTCTTCAAAAGCAGACATGTTTACAATTAATCGCGATTGTAGGAAAATAAATGTGTAGTTTTAAACAAATAATTCTGGTTATTACCGCACCAAATTTAACACGTTAATACATAGGGGAAGGTGGGGGAATTTTGCGCGGTGGGTAATTTTACGCATAAACAATTCTTCCAGATATGAAGTAAATAATACATTTTTTGAATGTTGCAAACTTGGAAACGTTGCTTTGGGTATACGGGGACTAAAGTGTACCGCAATTAAGCTTGTAGCTTTTAACTAGTGACCATGGTCACTAGCTAACTGTGATACATGTACGTTGATCTAAGAAATCCATGTCGTTTCCGCTACGAGTTAAGTTTAAATTTCTGTCCAATCGCTTAAATGTTTATAACACAACTTTATATGATCTTTCCTCGTAATCTGGTGTATGTTTAAATTGTTCAGGTTAACTTTTGGAAAGTTTTTTAGTATCACAATATTTTTCTTGCAATGGGGGTAATTTTACGCTGAAAAATTGGGGTAATTTTGCGCTGCAAAATTTGGCCAATATGGAAGCTTTGGTATACAGGAGCCTAGATTGTTCAGCATAAACAGTTCCATTTGGGCACACGCGGAGTGTAGCGAAAAAAAAAACCGTAAAACTACATATGTGACAAATGCTGCATGTAGACCCTCTTATTTCTAAGAAGAAAAACTTTATTTTTAGTTATTTATTTTTTATTTTGTTTGTTTTGTTTGTTTCATAGAGAAAATAGTTTTGTTTTATTTTTATGTTTTATTATAATAATATTATAGGTAAACGGTTTATTTAGATACCTACAAATCTTTCTCTATACAGCGCAAATTTTCCCACTATGATGCGCAAAATTACCCTGATAGGTGGGTAATTTTGCGCAAATGCATTATTTAAAAAAATGTAGTTTTTGCATACCAAACATTTTTTTTTATAAATTGCGCATTATATACACATAGTAAACATAGTAGACTATCGCTGGTATTAATTGCAAAATTTCACATTTAAACTTAACAAAGATACTAGAGATTTTGCTTAGATGCGCAGAATTCCCCCACCTTCCCCTATTTATTGGTTTCAGGTGACCAAAAATAATAAAAAAAAATATTTTAGGCCTCTAGATAAATAATTTTCATATCCGCTAAATTTATAGATTTTTTTATTATTTTTTATTACCAAATATTTCAACAGGGTGTGCTTATATTTCAAGCTATGAAACCCATGTTTAACAGTAAAATTTAATTCGTGTTAATTTTATGTCTTTGGATTATTTTAATTCTATTAATTATTTGCAAATTGTACTCTTACAATATTATAATTCAGTGTTAGTTTAATATCCAGTCAGAGAAAGCAAAGATAATAAGATAAATAATATGCTGGAAAGAGACAAGGATAGAAAGTAAAGATTAGTAAAGTTACGATTAAGTTTTGGCCACTATGCCTTCACGTTATAGTAACGTAATCATAACGTGGTATTAACGTGTCTGTATACAATTCAAGAACGTTGTTAAAACGTAACTGACACTAAAAAAGTGTTCCCCATTTTAGTCACTTCCACGAAATAGAACCGTTTCTACCACGTGGCAGAGATTTTGGCAATATACTTTACAGTCCCAAGTTTAAGTGGCCAACACGTTTTAACTACTATAAATGCTACTTGGGTATCTTTACAGCTAGACAAAAACCAAGATTTAAAATTATTATTATTAAAAAAATTTTGTTTAAGATGTTCCATGTTATTTGTAGGATTTTGATAAACAAAATTTTTTAATGTTCCCCACAAGAAAGAGTCCAATGGACTTAAATCTGGCGAATTAGCTGGCCAACTTACTGGTCCCGATCTACCAATCCATTTATTGGGAAAGCTTTGGTCCATTAATCCACAAACAATGTCGATGTTATGGTATGGAGCACCATCCATTTGCCAAAATATATTTCTTCTTAATAAAAGCGGCACTCCAACTAATAACTCATACAAATATTGATTCAAAAAATTGTAAAATCTGTCTCCATTTAATGAGTAATCATACCTTCAAAGGTTATTTTTTAGTAATATAACTGTTTAAAAAAGTTACCTAACGTTATTTTGACCTTTTTTAGATATGTTTTGGTTTAATTCAACTTTTGATATTACTTTTTAGTAAATTGGTAATACGCCCTATTAGTTGTTGTCCATTGTAAAAAAAGATTTATTTATCTGTTAATTAGAAAAATGACGTAATTTAACCACATAATTAATAAAACATAATATTGTTTTAGGTTTAATAGTATTTTAAATCAATTTCACATGAAATAGGGAAAAAAATACAAAATTATACTGTGAAATTTTTTTTTATCAGAAAAATAAAAAGTGTTTTTTCTGTTATAGATAACTACTAAAGCTTTAATTAATAAAATATATGAATATCTATAACATTTGGGAAACTTTCTTATTATTAATTTTACGAAGAAAAGTTATTCTTTATAAAAAGTTCTGCATGTTCTGAAATCTAAAATAAAATCTTCAGATATCAAATTTGTTCGGTCATATACGAGGTGTGACAAAAAATATGAATTTGGTACAAGAGTAAAGTACCTTACTTTGTGACAATATCGAAAACTGTAATTATGAAAAGTTGTTAGGAATGAAAAACTATGTTTTAATATGCAATTACATCCTTCTACTTAAAACAATTTTTTTTACAAATATTTCTCAAATTACCGATACCGAACATTTATCTTTTTTATTTATTACAAACATGATAACCTTTCCGTTCCGTTCAGAAAGTAATAAGCAAATTCTGATATTTTGACATCCAATTTCAAACATTTCTTGCTATCAACAAATCATTTGTTTGTCAGAGCATCCTAGATTACATGTAACTACAGTTACATTTGCATTGTTATTGTAAACAAAAAAGAAAAAAAATATTTTTTCCATGTAAATGGAACTAATTGTATATTTGAACGTAGTTTTTATTTCTGATCAACTTTTTTTTAATAAAAATGTTCGATATTGTCAAATATAAAGGTACTTTAAGATTCATATTTTTTGACAAACCGCGTATACAAATGAATTTTTTTTATATCTGATGATTGTATTTTAGATTTTAGAACATGAAGAATTTTTATTGAATTATAACTTTTTTTCATAAAATTAATAATAAAAAAGTTTCCCTCTTAAAATTAATATTCAGAGACGACATTTTATTTCAAAAATCTGGAAACAAGTCATGACTTGTTTCCAGATTGTATATATAGATAACCGTATTTAGTACAATATTGTTAAAGTAAACTCAAACCGGTTCATTTTCATACTTTATTCAAAGTTAAAATAAAGAGTAGTTAAAGAAGATAAAATAAACCTAAAATTACCAAATATTAACGCTTTTTTAAACAAAAGGTTAAATTTACTTAACATTACGCTAATCTAACCATAATTTAATTCCCCACATATTAGAAAATAACGTTATTTTAACTTAATTTTAACGTTTTAGTACGACTTTACCCAAATGAATTAACCAGGCATAATTTTAATTTAACCTGTTTTGCTACTTGGGAAGAGGTACCTAATTAATTATATTTAATACCTTGGGATCTGATACTTGATGTAGAATTTGATTAGATAATTAGGTAATAATACTATATATTTTTAGGTATTACTTCACTTACTTGTACTTATGAAGATATCTTCTTCCTGTTGGACTTTTGAAGTAGCTGTTAAATGGAAGAATAAATACTTTAAAAACAGTTCTAATTTTAAAAACCCACCAAGCTCTTTTGAAATAGACTCTGAACGGATTTATCTGGCAATGCCTCAGTATCATTATACGGATCAAACTATTTCTTTAGGTTATATTATTTACAACACAAGCACCCATAGTATGAGTCCCATACCTATAATAGGTACCTATATATTTTTAATTATAAATATTTTAGATCAAATTTCACCAGAAATTTATCCCTTTCCAAATATGGAAACTCATCTAACAAATAAAACGATCGTATCTGCAACCTACATACAGAGATGCGTTAATAAATTATGGGTTTTGGACAGTGGAGCTGTGAATATTACCAGCAACACCAACAAAACTCAACTAACTCAGCCAAAAATAATATTTATAGACTTGGATAGCGACACAGTTATGTTGAATTTATCAATTCCCAAACAATTCTACAGCGATAATAGTTTGTTAGTTAATATGGCATACGAAGAAAGTAGCAGTATTGAAGTGGGATCATTTATTTATATCGCTGATTGGGAAATGGGAATTATAGTTTGCTCTCTAGGCAGACGGACAGATCAATTTTGGCTTGTGAGTGATAAATTAATTTTTCAACTAAGTACTGAAAAAGGACAACTTTGTTGATGTTAAACAAATATCAGAAATAATCCCCAACACCAAAACAATACACAAAGTGCTTAAAGTACCTTTCGCCAAGGGTGTTGGCTGCTAAATCTACCATATTAATACACCAATTATAAGCTAAGGTTGACTAACCTGTGAACGGCACAGTTTACTAAACCGTGGACCGTAATCGCTTCAGTGAACACGTAAAAGTAACAAACAAGAGTTGGGTACCGATTTGTTATCGCTATTTAAAGATTTATTTATATTCTTACAGATGTATAAACTTTCACAACTATCTAGAAGACTTGGTTCCCTAACTTCCTTAATAAGTTTAAGGTTGTCAAATCGTATTATATGACCATCATCAACATATCGCACATGGGCGACAACAGTGTCATAAGTAGTACACAGTAAAAAGTTTATATGTATATTTAACATATAGTATTGTGCGAATTAATGTGAACATTAGGAATTTCTATATTTTTTAACTTCGAACACTGCTGTGACAATTTTGACAGTTTTTCTTGACATATCGCTCGCCTATCATTCCGCATTAAGTAATTGATAATGTCAGTCATTTTGCCGGTTATTGCGACTAATTTACACTAGGGCAAAAAAGTAACCCTTCTAGACTGGCCTGTAAACTCACCGGACATTAATCCTATAAGGAATTTGTGGGCTATGTGCAAGGACAGGTTGCTAAAAATGAATTCTACAACAAAAACTAAGATGATTGAGGCTGTCATTCAGGTATGGTTTCGAGATGTCAAAATAAAGGAAAATTGCAAAACATTAATTAATTCTATGACAAAACGAGTTGAAACTTTAATAAAGGCCAAAAGGGGGACATATTCCCTAATATATAATACAAAAATATTTATAAACTATACTACTGTTTGTATTTTTTTTCAATAAATAATCGCACAATCTACACAATTGTGATTTAACGTAAATCTATTTCACATTAATTCGCACAATACTGTATTTCTTGTGTCCCAGAAAGTCCACTCAAATGTTTTAGTTTTTTTTTATTTTTATTACTTATGTTAATTTTTAACACAACATAATGTGTAAAACAGAATTAATATATGCAAAGTTCATTTAACAAATCGTGTCGTGTTAATTTTATTTTTTTTAATGGTTATTTTAACCTAAACTAATAATAATTATGATTTAAAATCTGTATAACTTAAACATAATTAAATATGTTAAACTTATTTATATTTTATTAATTTTACACAAAAAAGTGTTACTTTAACATATAAGTTTCTTTTAATTTTAAACAAAAGTATGTCTTCATTTAAATATTTTAATTTATTATTTAAACAATATTTTTTAATTAATTTTTATATTATTAATTGTTTATTTTTATTTATTTTAATAAAATATTTAAATTAATATAAGAATATTGGGTTTTGGTCAAAAAATAAAACAAGTATGTAATAATAATGATTTATTATACTACAACATAACATAAAAAAGGCCAACAATGAAGCATTGGAATTCACTAAAATTGCACAGTCCAGTCCTTTTTTTGTATCCGAAAATAAAATACAAATCCAAGCCATAGGGTAAACGGTCTTCAAACATTTCTGGGGATACAAACGTTATGTAAGTAAAAAAACATTATCATAGCAAACTTACCTTTTAAATTTTGTTAAACTCACACTATATAAAAGCACACTTAACCTTACAATTAGGAATCTCTAATCGAATTAACTATCATCAATCGACTAAACGCGGTTAGAAGACAAAGGGCCTTGCAGGTACCGAAAGAAGGCGAAAATTAGCGAATTAAAAGAACAACATTTTTATTTAAGTTTAATTGAATAAAAAAAATACTCAATTGTTTTAATTTGATTAAAAATTTTCTGTACTCAAATATTTAACAAATATTTTTGAGTTAGATTAACACTTGTTTAGGAGTTAATTAAACTAATGTATTATATTGAAATTAAGATAATTTTCTCGTAACATTAACTATATTATTATACTATAATGTACAAAAAAATATTATTTAACATTCTTATTTGCGTAGGACCTTTTAACAAATTAATGTTTGTTAAATTTTAAGATTTTAATTGATATAATTTGTGTATCAACTAACATATATCATTTATGGTATAAACACTAGAAAGTTTATGTACATTTTTACATTTTTTATTTAACACGCATTATTTTTACCACAAATTTAAAAAAATTTTAAGTATTATAAAACCTTAATTCCGAGATAATGACCGTTAAAGATTTTTAAATAATAAAATTCTCACATATTTGTATAATTATATTAACTTACTGGTTCTTTGCAAAGGAAGATCCACACTAAGATTTTGAGCCAGTTAAAAATTAGATTTTAGAAAATACTCTTTTTGAATAAGAGCTATTTGTAGATACAGGGTGCTCAGTTGGTTTTTCACTTTTTGTGGCCCTGTAAAAATGTTGTTAGGTGGGTTGGAAGGGTTGGGTTAGTCGTAAACGAACGCTTGGTATAGATAAATTTAGTCAACATGCACTGCATGTCATGCAGCGTTACACAGGAGAACAACGCGCTTTTTGTGTTTGCGAGTTTTATCAAGACAACAATTCGTGCACTCTCGTTCGACATTTGTTTATACGTCATTAAAAAATGTCCAGGCATTAATTTAATTAAGGGATGGGTTAGTAAGTTTGAAAAGACTGGTTCAACGACAAATAAACGCATAACCAACCGTTTAAGAACAATAAGAAGCCCTGAAAACATTGAGATGGTGAGAGCGTCTGTGCGGCAAGAACCAAACTTGTCGGTTCGCAGGCGTGGATCTGCTTTAAATTTGACAAGAGCCTCAATGCAACAAATTCTCCGGAATGATTTAAAAATGCACCCTTACAAAATTCAGATAGTGCAGGAAGTGCTGAGAGACTTTTATTCGCGCACGGTTTCCGGTTTCCATCTTTCGATAAAATCTTATTTTCTGATGAAGCTCATTTCCACATTAATGGCTTTGTCAATAAACAAAATTGTCGTTACTGGGGTGAAACAACCCTAAAACAAAACATCAAAGGCCTTTGCATAGCACACAAGTCACAGTTTGGACCGCCATTTCAGCATCGGGAATTATCGGTCCGTTCTTTTTTTAAGACAATCGCGGCCGCGCAATAACAGTGAATTCCGAACGTTATGTCGATATGATACGTGATTTTTTGATACCTGATTTTCAAGAATTAAAAAAAAATTACAAGTTTTTTCTTTAATTTAATAAAAAACTTGTCAAAATTGATCGATTGGTTTTTTTTAAATTTAAATTCAAAAAGTGAAAAACCGAAGGAGACACTCTGTATGTCTGTGTTGCCGAAGAAGGTGTACATCAATTTTGAAGATATTTCTGTGTTGCTGAAAATATGTGCATGAATTTTGCAAATATGTCTGTATTGCTAAAAATGTGTTGATCAATTTTTTAATTATTCATTCTTTTATTGTTGATTATAAATATGAGGAACGTATGGCTGGACTCATCGGCAACGCCTTACACTGATTTCCCAGGGTTATTTTTACCTCCTTTTAGTTCTCCTACGATCCCGCCACTGCACAGCATTGCATGTGTTTGGTGGATCCGAATTTTCACCCCGGCTGTTAAATCTCTAGGAGGTCGTGGATGACAGTTTCGATAGTTAAGGCCACTCTCCGGGCCGGGCCATACGCCCGATTTAGGCTAGTGGAGTGCGGACCAGTGTTGCCACTTTTAGTACTTTTGTACTAGATCTAGTCCTAAAATTGATTTTTTAGTACGTTAGTACGCTTTAGCAAAATCTAGTACTTTTTATAGTTGAATATATTTTCGCAACAAAATTGGTCGAAACCACAATTGTGTGGTTTAAACGGAATTAAAACCAAAATAATTTTTAATTATTTTGGCAACAATGCAAACACCTGACTTTATGTTAGTGACATGAATAAAAAAATAATAATAATAATAATTATGCAATCACACTGGGTGTTCTGCAACCTTCTTTTCACAGGCTTCTTTTTTATAGGCTTTTTATATCTTACAGCCAGCGTTGCAGTCTGCTACTTGCAGTTTTTTAGAAGTTCTCGAGCAGGACTGCCAAAAAAATGCTTTTATCTACTCCCATTGCGTAATTTTGGGTTTTTTCCATAAATAATGTTAAATGTTCATTATAAAATTCCTGTCTAACAACGTGAATAATAAACTCATTATTCACGTTGTTAGGCATCAGTGATAGGCCGATTTCAATATTCACTGTGATTTGATCGGGTTTTAAATTGGGAAAAGGCAACTATAATAACATTTAAAATTGGTAAATAGTGAGGTTAACCATTTGACAGATGTTTATTTATTTAATTTTAAAAATCATTTAATTATTTACTTATTGGAGTAGTTAAAGTATAGTATTACACTCGAGATTATGCGCAATATTCACTCGGATAATTTAGGTCTCTCGTCTGGCGACTCGAGACGTAAACCTCACCCTCTTGAATAATAGCCTGCATTATCTCTCGTAAAATAATTTACTATTGGTTGTCTCTCTTATAGTTTATTTTTTTAGGATACTTAAATATATGTGTTATTTATTCAATTAAAAGTGCAGTCATCCAAATATTCGTAACACAAAACCAAATATATAAATTATTGGTGCTGCTATCTGTGGCCAATTTCACCCATATAGCATTTAGTACAATCTAGTACGAAATTACGAAGCCACCTAGTACGAAATAAAATGAACGAGTGGCAACACTGGTGCGGACTAGTGAAGGGACTATTCGAATACAAATAATCGAAGTATTCGATTCTGGCGTGCATTCGAATGCATTCGATTCTCAACAAAGTATTCGAATAGTTCGAACTATTCGAATCGAATCGAAAGCGCTTGCGTGTCATCGAGCGGAAGGTGGGAGACGAGAGATTTCTTTGCATTCGAATTCACGCCAAAGTTGATTTTTTGTATCGCATGGAGAATCGGCTTGCATCGAGCTGGACCAGCACTGCTTGTGTTAATTTTAATATGTACTAAAATCTAGTAAATATAACAAAAAAATAATTATCTAATTATTATTAAAACTTTTTAAATGTCACAAAAATAAAACATATAACCGACGCGTCGTTCCAACCAAATTAAAAATAAAGAATGTTGAATTTTGGTGACTATTTCCTTAAGGATTTTAATTTTGAATCAAAAGGTATTAATTTATTAAAAATAAAGAGCATACATTTTTACTTTATTAAAATAGGCCATAAATTTTCGGCTATTTACAAAACCTGACAAATAATATGGTTTATGTTTTATGACAAAAATAAAGAAAGCATGTCATAAATCAATTAGTAGGTATATTAGCCGGTTTATAATTTATATTGCACCCAGTGTGACGCCAACCCGCTTAGTCCATAACGAATTGTGAACAAGAAATAAAATGACCATTCGAATACAGAGAATCGAATAGTTTGTTCCGAAAACATTCATTCAATAAATGTTTTCGGCTATTATCGGTTCCGATTCGGAACAAACTATTCGATTCTCTGCATTCGAATGATCATTCGATTCTTTAGACTATTCGAATGCAAAGTATTCGATTCTTAAAATTATTCGATTCTCCCTTCACTAGTGCGGACAAAGAGGGAAAACATTTTTGTTTTTGAGGGACATTCAACTGACCCAAAACTAAGTACAATCCGGAGTCCCCTTTTATATTTATATATTTCGTAGATAAACTACCAAGATTGTAACAAGAAATATGTTGGACAAACTAAACGATTCATCCAAGTAAGGTTCAAAGAGCACATGGCCCATGCTAGATTTGGTAGAACAGAGAAATCTAGTGTTGCCAATAGGATTTGACAACCCTAAACTTAAGTTAGGGAACCAAAAACTAGATGGTTATCAAAGTTTATAAATCTATAAGAATAGAAATAAATCTTTAAATAGCAATAAGGGACCGGTAATCAACTCTAGTTTGTATAAATTAGTTTGTTAGTTTCTTTTTACGTGTTCACTGAAGCGATAACGGTCCCCGGTTTAGTAAACTGTGTTCGTTCACTGTTCAGCCAACCTTAGCTTAGTATAAATACTTACTTTAAGCACTTTGTGTTTTGTTTTCGTGTTGGGAAATATTTCTAATATTTGTTTTTTAACTAATTGATATACTCCTAATGTAACAATATCTATATTTTAAGGTTAAAAAGGAAGATTGGAATCCCAGCCCACAATCTTTAACACCTTTAAACTGGATGAACCACGGAACACTAACTTTGGCCGTAAAAAATAAATACGAAGACAACGAGCTTTGCTTTAACAGTTTGGACGTTGTGCCAGTTTATTGCATAAAAAGCAATGCCCTAAAAATAATGTCGAAATCCTATACTGGCTTTGAAACGCTGCAAAGATTCGATGGCAAACAAATATTATCGTCGGTTTTTTTAAGGAAAAAAAATCTGTTTTTCTTCGGCCTTGTGAAAGAAAAAGGTTTGGGATGTGTAAATAGAAATGTGAAAAAGGACCGACGTCACAACATTGTGACTACAAATAAAAAAACGATGGTTCACCCTACAGATGTCAAAATTGATGATGCCGGCAATTTGTGGCTGCTTAACGATAGACTGGAAGGCTTTATGTCGGGAAAATTCGGGAACGTTTTTTTATTAAAAGCTTCAGTAGACCATATTATGAAACCATGCCAAAAAGTATCGGAAACAACAGTCAAATCCGGATGTCCCAGAACTGCTTCCTTCCCGAATTTTGTGTTGCTTTCGATTATTTCTACAGTTTTATGTAATAGCCTCAATAATTTTTATTAAATAGATAAGAAATTATTTTGTAAAAAAATAAAGCACACAGTTTATTTATTTTTATTTTTGGATGTTTGGAATTTTATTATACCTTGTCAATAAAGCCACAACTTGTCAATGTTGTCCTTATTTAGGGTGTGTTCGAATTTTTCTTCACGATAGTCCTAAATAGGTTCCAAATATATAAAAAAAATAATGTGCCAAATTGCAGCTCTTAATTTTAAAATTAAGCCGGCCCCCCCGACAGCCAAAGTTTTAAATGGAAATAACATGGGAAAAGTTCTGTTATTACTTTGGATTTTTTTAAGTCATGAACTAATAAACGGATTATATAGAAGGATAAATATTCTTGTAACAAATTTAACGCTCTACAAAAAAGGTTTCTTGTGATTTTTTGCTAACTTAACTGGTTCAAAAGTTATTCGAGGTCAAAATGGAAGTTCTAGTCAATTTTTTTTTTCCATTTTCAACGTGGTTTAATGATTTAAAAATGTAAAAAGGGTTTATAATTTATATTTTAGATGGTTCTATTCTTTAGAAAACTTTCAGGGTAATCGTGACCCCAAAAAGTTAGTTACACCAATTGTTTTTTTATTTTTGCACTGTCGTAACTTTAAGGATTATTTAACTTTTGGGATACGCAAGATATTTTGGGACATAGGTATTGTTAAAAGATTTTGATTTTAATTGGTGAAAAATTTGATAAACTCTGGTTTTAAATTCAAACTTCTTAATAAAAACATTGCTGTGGCTCCCGTCCCGAGGCGGGACTTAAGTTTAGTCCCGAGTGACTTCATAATTTTAAGATTTGTTATGTTACGATAAAACTAAAACAAACCAACCAACCCAACCCAACACTTTTTAACAAAGGAACAACAAATTTATAAAATAAAAAAATAAAAAAGTTCGACAACTTCTAGTAGTATCGAACCCGGTACCTCTAGCATGCCAAGCGACCGCCTTACCATCTGGTATTTTTTTTAATCCATTGAAATTTTAATAATATTTAATCAATAATAGTATATTAAAGTACAAGTTGCAGAAGGCCACATATTCTCGCACGAATTCGAAATTTGGCCTCGAGCGACGAAGGAGCGAGTGGACGAACGAATGAGTGCGAGAATAGCCTTCTGCAACGTGTGATTTATACTATTTTCTCGATTTTAACTTTTATTTAGGTTTTTTTAATTGTTTTGTGGTCGTTGTTAGTTAGGGGATTTTTCTCGCAAAATGTCAGTTGGCAACACAAAATGACAATATTTGTTATCCTGCACAAGTACAACCTGAACTGCACTTTTACACATTAAACTTAAAATTTTGCATTAAAATGCATTGTTGGAGCAAACTTTATATTACAAAACAATTTTTGGTAACATTTAGTTTTTAAGTATTGGTACCCCCAAAATGTCAAACTGTTTAATAACCTCAAATTCATTACTTTTAGGATTATTTATAATAGCTTTGTTTGTTATCCTGCACTAGTGCAACCTGAACTACACTTTTATTGAAAATGAAGCCTTTATTATTGTTTTGTAATATTAAGTTTGCTCCAACAATGCATTTTAATGCAAAATATTAAGTTAAATGTGAAAAATTGCAGTTCAGGTTGTACTTGTGCAGGATAACAAATATTGACAAATAACTGGGCCAAACAGGTCAATCAAACTATATTTTATTGGAAATATTATATACCCACAGTACACAAAACACAAAACTACTATAAATTAATCACTAGCACAATTGTTATAAACTTTTATTGTAATGTTCGGTGTTGCTTGTAAAACCTCCTGTGACATTTTTCACTGCTAAAAGTAAAAACAATTGTTCAAAAATATCATAAAACATTAAAAAATAATACAATACTTACACAAAACCTTATTATCCAGTTGACAAATACAGACAGATTATTAATAAATAGTAAATAAAAATAAATCTACCTGTCCATTAGAGGTGGAGAACTATCGATGGCAACTATCGGACTATCGATAGTCAGAGGAATTTGAACGATAGTCACCGAAAATCGCCAGCTAAAAATTCATCGCCTAGTAAATTCCTTTAAATATTAGTGACTTACTTGCAATCGGCTACGATCGCTAATACCGACGTTTTACGATAAATATTAGCGCCTATATTGTCCACCATAATGCCAAAATCAACGAAAGCGTAAAGACCGCGTTGTGTGCTATTGAATCAATCAATAGTATTGATATAACAACATGGTTAACAATTATTGTGCTATAAGTGAACATTTTTTAGTGCTATAGTTAAGTAATCCAAACCAAATGGAATTTCCCATTGACCCCAATTTATTTTTAACCCTGTAGTACCGGAACCGCCGTTGTTAATTCGCCTAGGACATAAACATAAAGGACTTGGAAGAAAATTCCTATGCCAGAAGAAACTTTATTAAACTTATAAAGTAGGTATACCTATAAGTATTATTAAAATTATAAATTAGCTAGGTATTATTAAAATAAACGTAATTCGTTTTTGTTACTTTTATTTTTTTTATTTATACATATTTATTAATATATATTTTCAATTTAACTACAATAAATGTATTTTTTATTTTACCCATCAGCACTTAAAAGGGGGATTTATAATGTCATTCTTTTCTCATTATACATTGCTCGATATAGGGATAAACACTACTAGGTTATCGGTAACTTTTTTCAATAATATTTAACATTTAAATATTTACAATAGTATATTACCAAAGCAATGCGTGAGAATAAAAATGACATTATAAATATCTTCTCTCCTAAATGCCCCCACCGCCAATTATTGTTCCCCATATATTTTTGTCTAATGTAATAGTGGAATTTCACTAGAAAATAAGTAGAATTTTACTAGAAAATTAGCAAAACTTCACTAGATAATTAGTGAAATTTCACTAGAAAATTAATAGAATTTTTTAGGGTATACCTATTATCTAAAAAAATTAGATAAATTTACCGTTAAAAATAAGAGGATTTTCACTAAAAATATATATGATTTGCCTGAAAACTAAGCTAAAATATACCTAAAAATTTAATCAAATGGCCTTAGAAACAGGAAATTTATTCTTTTATTCTCAGGCAATATCCCTTACGATCTAAGGTGTATCATCTTTGAAACCTAAGTGATTTTGCTTAATTAATTGTATTATTTTCTTTAAAAATATCAGTTAAAGAATTTACTAATTTAAAAGGGATATTTCTTTGAATTCATTTCAGGCAGTTTGCCTTAAAAAATCAATGGTCCTATATAGTCTAATATTTTAGGTAAAAATTAGCTACAATTTTGAACAGTGTAATATATATATATAAGGTCACTTAGGGCCGTATGCAGAAACGTTGATTTATTTATATCAACTAATTTACGCATATCCACTGATTTAATTTTGAATTTTAAATGACAGTAAAGATTTGTATGTTATCTTACATACTTATACTTAAATATGTGTTTATTACATTATAAAAGTAATACATTTTTAAAATGTATTATTAAAGATACACATAAATACATTTATAACTGACTGAACCTTATTATTGACAAAAACTTAGTTTGAAGAGGATTTCGGCAATATAAAACACCATTGGGTTATGTCCGCAGTTTGCAATGTGTTCTGGTATAAGTAAATTTTGCATTAGAAGGTATGAAAAACGAAAATTACGGCTTAAAGCCTCTGAAAAAAACAAAGAAGTTTTGTTTGAAATTTTCTTTGTTTGTTCTTGTAAAAGATTAATTAATTATATTATAATTATATTAATTATATTATAGTTATAGAAATACTAGACCTGTTTCTAAAAGGCAATGCTCTTTTACCTATTCTTTTACCAAGGTACCAATAACACCTTTTTAGGCATTTAGGCAAATGTTTTGAAAAATAAATGTAATGATGCCAAAGACATCGGGAGGGAAAAAAGACATTTAAAATTTGTGACAAGAATATTAAAAAAATAAGAAACAAACCCTGGAGGATAACATATGATAGTTAATGCTTGATATACATAAATTTTGAGTTTAGAATAAACTTTTTTAATCAAAAGGAGGGAAAAATTGTGCTAAAAAATGGGTGGCAGGTGGAGTCGAAACTTTTTGTAGCATGCATATAGTTTACCCTTGCCTGCCCCCATGAACAAAATCCTGGCTACACCCTTGCTGGAAATGGGGCAAGAATCCCTGCTTTTCTAAAAGGTTTAAAAATCCAAAGAAAAAAATTATGCATGCCTATACACTTTGTTTTTTAAATAATTTATATTGAAAAATATAGCTACACAAATTTTAAAAACTGTTACTTTAATAAAGCAAATTTTAAAATTTAACTGTTGAAGTTCTAGTTTAAATATTTTTACCCTGTGTAGTTATTTTATTTTAAAAATAAAAATATTGTTTCAGACTCTGAAATTCAGAGCATATTTTTATTTATTTGTCAAATAAAAATTACAAATAATAAAAACAATTTGAACCAAAAATATAAAAACCTACACTGCCTGTTTTTGCTTTCTAGCCAAAAGGTATACCTTGTTGAGCCCTTTACCCAAAATCTACTGCTTCTATTTCCAAGGGCAAAAGTATTTAAAAAATAAGACAAATATTTTTTAAACACAATTTTGGTTTTATTTTAGAATCTTTATTATTTATTATATTGTATTTTTTAATTATCTATAATATATGTATAATATTAAAAAGTAAACATTTATGTTTTTTGATTAAAAAAAAAAATTTCACCCAAGTTCAATGTTTACAATGAAACTAAAGAAAGTTATAAATCAATTGATTTCAAGTATTCTGCTTTTCAATCAGACAAAAAAACAGCAAATATGTTTGATATAATTAACATGGTAGTAATTTTATCTTAAAAGAAAATGTTATTTTTTAATTATATCTTTGTTATAGGTATAAAGCACAAATACTGTCTATTTTTATTTATATTTTATATACTATATATATTTTATCAACCGATTTACATTTTAATGATTTTATTGGCCAAAAAATAAATGAAGTAAACCATAATTTATATTAGCGAAATTATTTTGGGCGTTTTAAAGATGGGAGTAGAAAAATTAA